GTATCACCTCGCCTACATCGGGCAATGTTACAACTGCTTGTCACCGTTGTTGTGGCATTGCATGCTGTCATTCTAACGCCGGAAACTGAAGCCGCACACGGAAGTGAGTTCCTTTTCCTTTTATAGCTGACCTATTCTTATTCTCGGAAAATTTTGTTTGAATTCTGCAATTTCCTTGGTACGCTTCTTCCTAATTTTTTTTGTTTCTCATCGCTTAAGACAAACCTGTACCAGCTCAACTTTTATCATTATCCTCTATGCGCTTCAGCTGACCACCCTCATCCGCCGTTCTTCGCTCTCTTGCTCGTGAATTTTTTCGCTGTGCACTTGACCCTTGTCAATGTCAAGTATCAATTCCCCATATGTACTTCTGACCATCAATGCCACTTTTCTGGTGATTTCCTATCGATTGAGCACTTAAAGTTGATCATTCTCTCATTTGCACTGTTGTCTATAGCATTGAAGCTGTTTATTTGACCGAATCCTCGACAGCTAACAATCAAAGCATCTTGTAAGAAAAAACAGTAATCTGCAAGGGGAAATCCTAAGCAAGTTTCATAGCTGCTACTCCTCTTCTGAACGTCATCATTTCGGTGATCTTTCTTCGCTAAACACTTTGATCTTGCTTTTGCTTTCTTGTTGTAGTTTTTCGCTTTTAAACAGTAAGGGACCTAAAAAGCACAACAAATCACTGCACGACCCTCGTCATACATCGATCAGAAACCCTCAATCAGAGTATTGTACGTGTTTTGAAATAAACCTTATCTAAGGATTAGCATCACCACCGACTCGACTTTTCTAAGCCGATTGCACCTCAACTAATCTTCCATCACAACAGAAAAATGGTTTTACTCTGCATTTAAAGTGCGTTAATGCTATTCGCTGACTAGTGATTCTGCGCCATGTGGCGCGTTGCGTTCAAAATTCTGCCGCAACGCGGTTTGAGTGACATTTTGATCCTCCTGTATCTGAAAATGGAAATGGGAAGCCTGCCAAGCCAACGATGTCAGTATCTCGCATGAAGCATTAACATAAAAATCGTGCCCGCCTCCCATGCTTTGGGCTCATCAGAAGTCGATGAGGTATGCAGGAATAAGTGAGGGTTGGCGATGACGCTTCATTAGAGGAAACAATTAAAACGCACAGATTGAGTTGACAGGGCAACAGCAGCAGCAGCAGCAGGCCGCACACTTAATTCGCATTTGCAATTAACGGACAGCACACTAGACAGGACAAAAGACGTATAATTGTGTGTAGGGTGTGTAATTAGCATAGCGCACCCCTAAGGCGAAATCATGGCTGTGATTTTGCTCTTTCGCTTACTATGGTAGGAAATTTGAGGAAACCCGAAAATGCGGCAAGGAAAAGGAGGTGGATAAGGTTTGGTTTTTGAACCGTTCAAGTTGGGAACACTCAGGACAGAAACCATTCCGCGGCTACAGGCACAAATAGGTAGTACTTACCTTGAGCTGTACTCTAAGTTTATACTAGCGGTCTTACTTGTTATAGAGGCATTTATTTCACGATTATATCTCATCTAGAAGCTTTACAGATACACAAGGATACATAATGAGTTATAAGCTGCGTTTTGTCAAAAACGGCCATTGCTGAAATCCTGTATTCTGTCTCACAAAGTAGTTTAGGCAAAAACTTAATCGTTCAACGAAAACCTTGTCACCACTGGCGGATAAGTATTCATTGAACGTGTGATGTTAACCTTGATGTGACTCGGCCATATCATCGACTATCTCCGCAATACAACCCATCCTCGCCCTCTAATGACAACCTCTCTCAGGCAATGTGACGTTGACATGCGCATACCGTACCGGTGATCTGTACCTTTGATACGTACGTACGGAAAGGTAACGTCACTTTCTGCAGCAGGTGCATATGCCATATGCGGTACCGTAACCTCGCAAGTCTAACTGTATCGTTCAG